ATTAACATGCCAGGAACAGGCATTTTATGAGAGAAGGCAAGGACAGAGGTGCCGTAAAATTGACCAAGGATAGGAACCAGGTAGCCCACACGTTATATAACAAGGACGCGACTGAATAAGCGTTCCAGCTTGATTATTAATACGTTTATTACTTAATGCTAAGATCAGTTTCAGCGCAACACAGTTCTCTTGTTCTGCAAATTTCGTGCCATTCGGTTGGAATTGCCGGAGATATGGGTGTAACAAAAAGCATCAACAAGCAAGTGGTCCGGGGGGAACCTTCACTAATACAAAGATGACGACGTAATTTCCAAACCAGAGATTGATAAATGCGACCAATAACTCATGCCCCTGGTAGATTCTTTCATTGAACGGTACCCGTTCGGCAGCTTTGTCTGGCTATGCTTGTAAAAAAGAAGCAGTGAACATACGAGCTACTCCGTTAGTAATTGCGCGGGTTAGTCTGAGGTGGTTCGCCACAGCACGTGACGACCCCACTATGTGCCACAACGCTGCCGCCGCAGGCGTACCTGCCTGGAGTTGCCTGCCTGAGTTGCCTGCCTGGAAACTGCTCCCTGCCAGCGAGTGCAACCGTGACGTCTCTGTCTGGAGCCCGCTGATCAACTTATGTAATGGCCTGCCAGCGCCGTCGCTGCGGCGGACCCCGCACTGATCGTAAGCTGCCGAGTTGCCCACTGACAAGGACAGCTTCTGTGGGATTGCGGTGGGTGATCACATGACGAATGAATGTAAAATGTAAGGCCCCTGAAGTATGTGGGTAGTCATTTGTCGAGATGTGGTTGCTGGGGATGCAGGTAATTTGAGCGACCGCACACATGGTGATGAGCAGTGGATATGCGAGATCACAAGTCTACATCAAACTGCAAGGCTTTAAGACAGCAATTGAAAATAGTCGGGCAAAGCCGTTTTATTAGCAATAGTTTTGCACGTTATTCGGGCATTTGTGCGTAGACGCGTGGGTCGGGATTTTTCGAATCAAAGTATTGGCGTCTTCGTGGGTTTACACTGCGAGAGATTAGTCAATACGCAGCTTGTCTGCGTCTACTCAAGAGCCCTGGTCACGTGATCGGTTGGCTGCCAGAATCGGTGTGATCGGACTCAGCGCCCTTGGCAGTCAGGGTTTTGGAAATCCGCGATGAGCTTGGTGGATTAAACACAAGGCTGCAATGATTCACGTCATGCCTATTTAAGCGTTTACCCATTACTATGTGCCGCTCGCAGGTAAATCAGTGTATTTACCGCTTATATTTGAGGTTGACACTAAGGGTAGCTACAGGTTTTGCTGGATAGGCTTCAGCCCTAACGCGTCACCGACCTTGCCCCGGGATGAGTTTTGCTCTCGTGCACGGTGGCACTACAATTGTAACACACTGCGAGTACGCTGCAGCGCTGCAACGGAGGGCACCATTCCATACGTGCCCGTGTTTGAACGTGGCAGACGGACGCTCCATGGCGCAACTCGGCTGCAACGGTGGGCGATCTTTCGCGCATGTGCCCGTGTTTAAACGCGGCAGCCGGACGCCCCTCACGGCAGCCCGGCTGCAACGGTGGGCACCCTTCCGCACGTGCCCCTGTTTGGACACCGTAGCCGGGCGCCCCATGTGATAGCCCGGCTGCAACGGTCACGGCAGTGGCCGGTTGATCCGGTGCTCCTCGCCACATACGGACTGGGGTCAAGAAAACAAGAATTACAGCTGGTACATTAACTTCATCCCAAACAAGCCTCCATCAGTTGGAAGGCTCCACGCTCTTAAGTCTCATCATGGCTGTTTTCAAAGCTTTCATACTTGTAAGCCGAACCTTTGGTATCACAGGAGTAAAGGCAATGTAGGTGTACATACAGTTATCTCCGATCCTACTGCTTGTGCACCATGCACAAACAGGTAAACAACACTATCCAATGGATAGTCAAGACTGCACTGCAGGTCAAGCGGGGTCCCCAGTCATCTTGATAAAGAAGCATCCGCATAACATGTAACCCATTCACACCGTACTAATTCCAGTTCAGAAGTGGCCTAAGCCTGCTGCTCAGCAACCATTTAACATGTAAACATCAGTTAAGACGCACATAAAAACCAGGGTTATACTTCACTCATGCTCTGAAAGTTAGTGTCATGTCTACTCCTGTCACAAGTCACGAAATGTCATGCTGTGGCTATGAATATATCACTCGGTTAACTAGTTGAAATGAATCGTAACGATTGTGGCCCTTTACACCATACCAAGATATCCTTCAAAGATAGCACAATAAGAGTGTAAAAGGAGGGGGTATCTTCGACGGTTACTCTAATGACACAATACAAACGTCTTCTTCCTATCCAATACTTGTGTGGTTGTAAAGCCTGCTTTTTCACCTTGTATTGGCGGTGCTGCTGCAGTACACTCTCCCAGCGACGGCATGGTGCATGGTGCTCCCGCTCCTGCCCGCGCGCCCCGGGCCGTCCCGACCGCGCCGCCCGGTCACGTGACACACCGCCGCCGGGTATGGGCAGACACACGCTGACCCGGGCCATGCGGCAGCCGACCGCGGCAGGCCCGAGCGCGCCACACGAGTGTCCAGCCTTACGTGATGACAGGATGACGGATGGAGTTGCGTGTGGAAATATCCGTGAAAAGCAAAAATTCATGGTGATGAATGCACGGGAAAGTGAATATGACATACTCTTAGCGGAGGGTTTGACACTTTGTTGTGCCATTGCCGTATGTCCTCTACCTCGTGGAAGTCAATGCACTGCATAAACAAGCACCCATAGGACACGTATAGCAGGAGTTATATACACTGCGCAGCACATATACAATAGCGTACGTCTAATCATATTAAACTCTGGTCTATGATGTACTGGCGTCTGGTACGTTTGCCTTGGTCTCATTTACGCCACCGACTGAACTCACCTTCAACATAACTGACCGTGCGCCGGGTTGAGCGAGCAGGCTCTGATCAATTTTAGTCACAACAATGAGTTCCGATTCAAATACAAGGCATGCAAAAGAGGAGGCGAAAACAAAAGCGTGCGCCATCTTAAGCCTTCCAGTTGCGAAGCATACCCGCTCTATGTTATACCGGCTCGACTACGCAAACCTGTAATCCCGACCGCGGCACCATATTTCCCTCATGCTCATCTGCATCGTTATTCCACCCATCGACGTCCTTGGGGGTGCACTCATGTCCACCGGGCTTGTACTGGCCTGCGGGGGCCGTCGTCGGCGTTTGGGTCTGTCAATGTCGGGTTCGATGACGATGGCGGCGAGTGAAGCGCTGGTCACCAGGAGACAGGGGAGCTGGTCCACCTCAAGATGCATTCGTTTCTGGCTTCCCGCACTTCCTTGCTATACATGCTAATGGGAAGCGACAGTGACTCGGTCACGTCTGTTCTATGGACTAGCACTTTGTGCACAAACGAGGGGAAATGACAACATCGCTTCGACAACTGAACCGTGATCAAGGCATATTGTGTGTGCTGCTGAATGTCGATAGGTAGGAATGAAGACAGAGCGGACAGGATGACGGCCAACCCTCGAAGAAGCTGCAGGCATACATTTCGAGGTCACCATTCCCACCGCCACCAGTCCGGGATTGGCGGAGCTTCTCGCCGGGATGTGACAGCAAAGGAGCCGGCCCGGCACAAATAATTCCCTCCGAATCAAACAATACTATTGGCTCGGCGGAGTCTGGGCAGCGAATGCAAACCACCAGACGCTGCAGGCGGTTGGCCTTTACAACAGGGGGCGCCCGCTGTCCACATCTGCGGGATCATGCGACGAGTGAAAACCGGCCCGTTGCAGCAAAAAAACCGGCCTCTTCCCGGATCTGGCATGACGGCGGCCCTATTTTTTAGTCTGACCGCCGCCTCAAGGGAAAGACTGCCGTCTCGGACGGCACTAATCAAGTTATAGGTCGCCGTCTGCCCGTCCGACGTGATGTACCGGGCGGTATCCGACGAGTGGCTTGTGGGTCAATGTGAACGGACCAGGGCAGGGGGCGGATAATGACGTAACTGGACTATACATAAATGATCTTGTATATACGCAGAATGGGCTGCGAAAGCGAGGCACGGATAGTTGAGTGACTAGATGGAGAGTGATCGCGTGTGAGTGTGGCCTCGTAAATACCGGTGACTTGCTTAGTTAGCGAGGGGGGTGATCATGAGGCCACCGCGAGGCGAAATGTTAACTTTGAAGTGATCAACGATCGCAGGCCACGGATTGGTCGGACGATCCACAAGGCCGGTGTTGGCAATGGCCGAACGTTGCATTTTACGTTGCGACACTCTCGTGGCCTGGCCTCCAGCCGGAGATGCCAGTTGTTGGCGGAGCGGATAATTGCACGTCGCCATTGCTTTCAAATCGGTCGGGTAAGACTTGCACCGGACTCGCAGACTTTCGTTCGATTTGCATCCCGCTGCGGCTTCTTTTTCAGGGGCCGAGCCACGCAGCAATGGTAGTGGCCGCGAAGGGTGACAGGGGCAGAACGCGCCCGAGAATCATGGCTCGGTTATGATCATGGTTCAGGAGGAGCCAGACGGCTGCAGTCCTGCTGCTATGGAAGTCAATGTTTGGAGGAAAGCGTGACTCGAAGACATCATTTCGTTTATTTTTGGCTAGGAGAAGGTCGATGCGTATTTTCCGTCTTTCACTAAACCTCAGGCATGGCGGTATGAATGAACGTGGGTCATGACGTGGCAGGGAACCAATTCGGACCGTCCGGGATGCAGGGTTACGCACTGCGGTAAGTGGACCGATGTCGGGGGAGGGGGCAACGCATATGCGTGCCAGGAATGAGCGGTGTGCTGTGGCAATGCTTGCAGTGAATTATTCGCGCCAGCGAATGAGGATGCTTGTATTGAATGTGGTGAGGTGCCGATCCCATGAGTTTGTGAAGATTATGTGTGGACGGGGGGTTTCCAGGGTTTATATCCAGCAGGCTCTGCTAGTGTAATTCATCGGTGGCGCGGGTTACCGGCCGATTCACCAGCCAAGCGATGAAGGTGAGTCGCCGTTTTTAACGACGCGGACGGCACAATCGTGCACGGAAAGACAACCGCTCATGGTGTCTGACGGGTCCTGCAATCCCGTCAATGCACGGGCTACCCATCTGCTGGACACCGCGCTCACTACACTGGAGGAAGTGTGCAGCTGGTGTGGACTGGCGCGCGCGCACGTCCGGGCTGCTGTCGATCGGCAGCCCGTCGCCGCAGGTGCGGCTCATGGGTCAGCCGATCCCTGTGATCGGCGAGCGGTGCTCGCACCGCTACCTGGGCCGACCTGTGGGACACACCAGGCTGTCGTGCCCGCCGTTACAGGTGCTGGCCGAGGCGGAGCAGGCCGCCCGTCTCGTCTTGAACAACGCGCTGGCCCCGTGGCAGAAACTGGACGCGCTGCGCGCATTCATCCTGCCACGGCTGACGGCCACTGCCCCGGCTGGGTCTGCTCCCGAAGCGGGCTCTGCGTCAGTTCGACGCCGAGCTGCGCTGGAGGGTCAAGGGGGTACTCCAGCTGCCCTCTCGCGCGTGCCAGGAGTACCTGCACGCCAGCACCTCGCGCGGCTGTGTTGGCCTCACCGAGCTCGCCTCTGAGGCCGACATCCTCCTCATGGCGTCTCAATGGCAACTCCTCACCTCCCCGGACGAATTCGTCCGCGAGACTGCTGCCTCTCAGCTGCAGGAATCTGTGCGCGAGCGCCTCCTGGCTGAGCCTACCCTGGCACAGCTCGCCGACTACCTGAATGGTAGAGAGTTGAGGGACGGTGGCGACGTTTCGACGCGCTTTTCACGAACGCGCGTCGCCACCAAAACGCTGGCCAAAACCATTCCGGTGGCCTGGCGCGCGGTGGACGGCGAGCCGCGGCTTGCGGTCGGCGACGACGTGGTGCCGCGTCGCCAGGCGGCTGCCCTCCTGCGAGAGGCGGTGCGCCAGGCGGCCGCCGAGCGTCTGTACCGCCTGCCTCACCATGGTAAACTGATGCAGACGATCGGCGACCAGCGCGTGAGCAGCCACTACATGTACAGTGGCAGCTTCACTCGCTTCGCCGAGTGGCGCTTTGTGCACCGCGCGCAGCTGGGACTGGTGCCTCTAAACGGCGTCCGTCGCAGCCGTGTGCGGGGCGACGAGCGCTGCCGGCGGTGCGGGTACGCGCGCGAGACGCTGCACCACGTGCTGTGCGACTGCATGCCGCACAGCGCCGCCTTCCAGCGCCGTCATAACGCCTGATACAACACTCCGTAGTTGTATCAGATTGAACGATTCCCTAAAAATGGCCTTCGCTGAAACCATGGGCTGACTTTGACCTGTCATAGCTCAGCGACCATACAAAGTACATCTAAAATTGGTATATCAAACGATCCGCTATGCAATTTTCTACAGCTATGCAAAATTTGGCGGGACTACACCGCGCCGTCCAGAAACCATTTGGGAAAAGCCCTCGGGGAGGGGTCAATTTGCCCCCCCCCCCCCCCACCCGAGCGCGTGTTAATGTATTCTGTTTCACTTCAACGGCCTAAGGTGTTGAAAAACGAAATAGTTTTGTCAGGCTCCTGATATTACGCCCATGCCAACTTGAACTAAACGTCTTTTTTGCTGAAGCATCAGTCACGAGCTCATAAGCTCCATCTTTTGTGAATTGATTTTTTCACTCCAGCACGGTCTTTTTGCGATGGAATTTTTCACTCCCACCCTAATTCGAAAACGATTCTAGCTCCCTGGTTGTCGATGTCCGCCATGCTTTTCGAGTTGAGAATGGGGATCAACGGCCGATGATCCGTCATCACCTCGAACTGCTGCGTACCGCTGAGATATATGCTGCATTTTCGGCCAGGGCCAGCAGCTCGAGTTCAATCACTGCGTAGCGTGACTCCGTCTCCGACAGGAACCGAGATCCCCATTGGATCAGGCGCCAACCGCCAGCCCTGCCCAGCTGACGGGGACAGAGACCGAGACCGCCGGCGCCGGCTGCGTCAGTCTCCAGCACCGTCTGCCGCAGCGGATTAAAACGTCCGGCACGGGAGGCGACAGCAGCGCCATCTTCACCGCGGCGAACACCTGATCGTGGGCCGGCGTCCATAGCCAGGCGTTCCGCGGCCACAGCAGCTGACGGAGCGGCTCAGCGGCCGCGGTGACGTCAGAGGAGAAGGACCCCAGCTGGTTGACTAGGCCGAGGAATGATCTCAGGTCGGTGATGTTGCAGGGCTTCGAGAACGACTTGATGGCTTAAATCTTCTTATCGTCAGCGGTGTAGCCAGTCGCGCTGATGTAGCCGCAGAATTCTACTTCCGCCTTCGCGAAGCAGCACTTTTCCAGGTTCAGCGTGATCCCATGCTCTTCACACCACTGAAGTATTTAGAGCACATGCTCCACATGGGCTTCGTACTCAGAGTCATAGGCGAGCACATCGTCCACCACTTTGTAGGTGTTCGGGATGTCTCCAAGTGCGGCATCACCGCGCTGGTTGCACACATCGCCTGAGCTGACGATGCCCATCCGGGCCCCTCTTGTACCTGAACCTGCCCCACGGCGTGATGACGCACGTCAGATCTTGATACTCCTCTCTGATTGGGACCTGGTGGTAGCCGGCCTTGCTGTCCAGCTTAGTGAAGACGGTCGCGCCAGGTGTGATTGCCGCCACCGCGTCCTGCGGCGAGCGGACTGGGTGGGCCGGCCTCTTCATGAATCGATTCAGCTTCCTTAAATTGACCTTGAGGCGGCAGCCTGACACTGCACCATCTGGCGACCGCCTGGCCACCGGGACGACGGGGTGACACCACGGCGTGGGGTGCTCGACGGGCTCTATCATGTCCTTGCTGAGGAGGAAGTCCAGCTGCCCTTTGACACCCTGTCTCCAGCAGAACGGAATGTTCCTCGCTGTCGATAGCGCATGGGGGACGGCGTCATCTGTCAGATCGATTCGCATCGGCTCCCCCACCATCTCCCGCAGAAGTGATTGGACGTCGAAGACGTGGGGAAACTCAGCCTTCAGGGCTTCAGACTGACGTTTCCGTTGCTGTGCCGAGGGAGCGCCACCGGTGCTCTGTAACGGTGGCTGCTCGGTGTCCTGTAAAAACTGTGGCCTACTCTTTAAAAAAAATCGAGCAGAAAACATCGGCAGTCAATTTTGAATTCACTTCTGCTATTGTTTCGCGAAAGGCATGTTGCCGAAATATCAACCAAACTATATCTTCATTCTGATTTTTCCCAGGAATAAGGCTTATACTACTGTTTTATCTGTGTGACCAATGTCCTTCGCTAATACACTGAACAACTCACAAAATCGATATTCTTCATATACGAATCGAACGCGTGATGATAGATAAGTAAGGTGCATGAGGCGTTTTAATCGACTTAAGACCGTTTTAGATCCATGCACCCACCAAATGGATAATAATTTTCAGGTGGAAAAGAAAGGCGACTTAACTGGAGTTATGGTCATCTAGGTTACGTGATGACATGCAAGTGAACATAAATGACATATCTACAGACAGCAACAGTAACGCCGAGTCGAACACTGCCAGTTAATTCATGGAATGATGGCTAGTTCAAAATACAAACTAAAAAATGTCTGGAAACAAGCAGTTTCTGGTATAATGCGTCATTTATTCTTGGGCCCCGTTTCATTTGTCGTCGGCACGATTGTCAGCTGGAATGCGTGACGGCATGCGTGCTGGCGGAGTGTTCGGTGTATGCGCTTGCGGGAAAGTATTCTGACTTAAGCTTCTTTTTCCCCTTTACCTTCAGACCAGACGCACATCCCCATTCTGGCTTACCGCCGACCATGGCACAGTGCCCATGAAGTGGTGTTTGGATGTGCGGCTCCTGCTCTGATGTTACCATCAACTATCACAGCCTTAAGTTGAGTGCCTCTTCCCATTCTCATCTCGGTCCAATTTCTTCCCGTCTCATTTTAAGGGATAACTCGACTTTGTGTGAAAACGGTCTTTTGATCCTTCACTGCTACTTGCGCTAGCATGAAGCCCATCCTTTCATTGAAGTCCAACATGAACGGACAAAGCCAATGTTCGAGACCCGTGAAGTTTCGTTCCTGTTCTCCGTCTTTTACGATACACCACACCTATCATTGTCATTCACCTTTTCATGTCTTCTCTTGGCAGTTCAATTCCCTTCTTATCTATCCTACGTCGCATTCCTCCCAAAGTTAAAGACAATTCCGCCCACCCCACCTAACCTGCTCCCAAACGTAGGAGCTACCGAATGAACGCTCGCTTTTTTGTCAGAGCGATTTTCAATCTGGTAGCGCTTTCTCTGCATGCTGACGGGCTGACAAAGAATCCTAGCAGCATCGTCAGCCGGCGCGTGACGTCACAGACCAAGTAACCTTCTGGTCAATTGACGTGACGTAGGGAGGATACCGGGCCGTGATTGGTGCTGAAAAACGTGTTGGCAGATCGAACGCGGCATTGACTTTAATGCAAAACCCTACGACCTAGAAAATCCGGAACTTCTCGTTTTCTTTAAAATTTCTGTAAGCGTACAACGCCCAAGGTGACGAGAGCATCTCTTGAGTTTTCTAGAGACATAAAAAGTATGATCTTTTGACGTCACCACGCCACATCGCGTTTCGTCGTGTTCAGATATAACGAGTGCTGGTTGGTAAGCAGTGTAACCTAACCTAACCTGTTGAAACCGATATAGCCAAGTTTGGGCTGAACGCCCGCACAAATTAAATCAAGGTTTTAAGCTGAAAAAGTAGGGCGACTGAACTTGGCTTTAGGTCATACTAGGTCATCTGATGACCCTCCGCAAGCAAATAAATGGGATCCATTTCAAGATAGCACATGTAACGCTGAGTCGAATGGGGTCACTTGCTTGATCGAATGAAGCATGTTTCCTAAGACAAACTTATCTATGTCAGGAAGTTATCAGTTTCTGGCGCAATACATTACATCCCGTTAACTTTGATACAGAACACAACGACCTGAAAGATTTCGACTCCCTCGTCCTTCTTAAAAGACGCCACAAGTGTGGAACAACTCAGATAATGATGGCATTCCTTTTCCTTTCACGTAGCATGACAAACTGTGACCTATAGACGTCACCACATTCCAGATCGATATTTGTCATGCACAGATATAACACATGACAAGGTACAAGCAAGAGAACCTAACACTGCTAGTAAGTGTTACTAACACTAACTAACACTGTGTAAACCGAGCTGGCCCTGATTTCAATGAAATTTGAAATTTGCAACGATTGAATTTAAGATTCGGGTGAAAAAAATAAGGCGACTCATGTGTAATTCAGGTCATGTCAGGTGATGTGGTGACTTTGTCAGGTGGCTTTCACAGGAAAGTATAAAAGTACCAGTAAAACTACAGGAAGTACACATTCCAGACCACAAATATAATGACGAGTCGAATGACGCTAACTGCTCGATCGAATGAGACCTGCTCCAAAAAATGAACTCATTAATGTCTTAAATAATCAGATATGACGAATGCATTATTTCTTCTTGAGGCCAACACGGGTCTTAACGATCTGGAAAATCCCGAACACTTCGTATTCTATCAAAGGTTCAGCATGTGTGCAACATTCCAAACAGTAAGGCCATCTCACGACTTTCGACAGGGCATTAAAAACCGTGACCTCCAGACGCCGCCGCGTACGGTATTAAACATGAACAAATATTCCACGTAGATAGATATTCCATAAATATATAGATATTCCTGACTAAGCCTTCGATATTATTATATATTATTATACATTAACTAAGCCCTCGATATCTTTGGCTTAGCAAAATTGTTTCTATTAAAGTTTATCGTAAGTCAAATCCGCAAGTGGTGGCATTTACATACAACAAGCAGCATGAGCCGTCTCGGACTCTCAAGCACGCGGACTCACAGCATGGCGAACATTCACTTAGCATCTATCTGTTTTGATCTATGCAAATGTTACGTATCGGTCAGTTGACATTCGTCGAAAGACATACCAGGGTTGCATGAGGTAAAACTGACAGTGAACGACAAACTCCACCACCACACATCGCCTTTTAAATGTCAATGTGATGCCTCACACTTTCCTCGTCCGATAGGAACCATCGCTAAATAGCGTTACCGGGCGAATGACGCACTAGCATTTGGTCTCGCGCTTCACAACATGTTACGCATTTCTGAGAGCTGTGTCTTGCCATGCCAGACGACTTAGCACACATGCACACACCTCCTGTAGTCACTCGTGGGCAATTTCCAGTTCAGATAAATGTT